TTCTCTCACATATTACTTTAACATCAACCTTGAGAAATCAATATTTATATATTAATATCAATCTAATAGAAATGATATCCAGTTATATCATTTTGCACACAAAAGTATCACAAAATTATGATTCCCTAATGTATTGCCTCTTTGTACCATTAAATTCTGTCTTTTTATTAATTAATCAAGGATGTGTCCCTTACCTTTAAGACTATTGTATAAATGAATGAAAGCTAAATGTAATTAAAATTCTCTGCTGAGTCTTATGTCCTTGTAGCCAGGGGAACACACATAATCAGAGGTGATGTCTAGGTGTCCAAAAGAAGGAAGTTTCAGATACATTTTTTTGGTTTTATTATTGCAGTGTTCTGAAAATAGATTTTTGAAAGCATAGATCATCCTACACTTCCTTCTGCAACTTTATCCACTAGACACCATGCCAGATTTCAGTGCTGGGTGCTGGAAAAAGTGCTTGTGTTTATTTTTATGAAACCCTTATCAAAATACCATGAATAAAAATATAACTTTATGGAGTACAGGGTACTTATTATTAATTCGAAAAGCAGAACCTGCATTTTCAAACTAATAGAACTATAAGCTAATATAAATTGACAATTAAAAACACAGCATTTCTCCAGTTTTTCTCTTTTTACTATTATATGGATTATTGGCCCAGATTCCTGAATTACACCCACCAACGTTGGTTAAACATGTTCTATATGACAACTGTTTAAACCTGGCTGAACCTGAAGAAGGAAAATAGCTTAAAAGGAATTCATCTAAATGAGATTAATCTCGATAGCACACATCAAGTATTACATCACGTTTAATGTCAGGTAATTTTAAGTGTCCCAAATAAACGTCTTCATTCTTGTGCTTTACTGAGCAAGGGAAGAATTAATGCTTTGAGGCTTCTCATTAGGAGTGGGGGCAAGTTTCCCTGTGGGGGTAGGAGTGGGGGAAGCAGCTTTCCCAGGGACTGACCCACTGACCTCGGAGGGAGGGGACCTGGAGGAGAAACTGGTTCTGGAGCCTGATGTCCCACATAAGGGGTCCTCCAAGAAGGGTGAGCAGAGGCGTCTGCCAAGTCGACAGGCTGGTGCTTGTGTCTGGTCCTCACCCCTCCACGAGGCAGTTTCCCCTCTTTTTTTTTTTTTTTAGATTTATTTATTTATTTATACAAGCACTGGGTACAGTCAGAAGCGCGGGAGGGTGAGAGAACACAACAGCCAGAGCAGGGAGCAGAACAGGCAGACTGACGAAGTACACTGCTGAGGGGAGCAGCGGACGGCAGGAGAGGTTTGTTACGCTATGTGGGACCCTTGCTGGTGGCTGGGGATCGAACCAGCGCTGCAGAGGGTACAGGCAGCTTCGCAGCCCAGCGCTCAACCACTGCACCACCAGGGGAGGCCCAGGAGTCCTGGACTTCTGTAAGGAAGTGAAGGGAAAAGAAGCCTGAGGGAGCTGTGGCATCTGGACTCCAGAAGGAGGCCCACTGTTCCTCCTCCCCGAACCCCCGAACCCCTCTCCTGCACCCCACTTCCCAGTGCTCTATCAGGCTTCCCTGGAAGAGAGAGAGTTTTTGCCAATGAGAAAACAGTGTGGAATTAATTCCGTATGACTTTGGCCTGGGGGGTTAAATCCAGAAACAAGAGTGTCTGTCACTTGTCTGGAAATGACCTGGGGCCTTTTTATTATCTGCAAGGGACTGGAGAAATTGGGAAAACCTGTTCCAGTTTTATTTCAGAGCTAGGCAAAGAAATTGCTCATTGCCTAGATTGAAGAGACAGAAAATAGAGAACAAAAAAAAAAAAAAAGGTATTGATGGCAGACTCTTGAGTAAAGCTTTTTAAATAAATAGTTAATAGACCACATTGAACTTGAAGATTTATTTATTAACTAGGCGACTGGACACAGGTATCTCTCAGTAAAATACAGAACAAAATCTCTGTATAACATTGTGCTCTATGAGGTACCATAGATTATTTCATGGATACATGTTTTTAGCTTTTGCTGTACAAACAATGCTACAACTGACAGTCACTGATTCACAGATTCAACCAAAAAATATATCAAGGGCGTGAGAACCTGGCAGGTTTTTCTAGATACATTGCAGGGAATAAAGAGTCAGTCCCTTCACTCACAGATTTTCTACTCTCGGGAAATAAACATCTGCAGGGTATAATTGACAATAGATGAAGATGTAAATTCCTAGTGGGGAAATCATTATTATTATTGAAATAACAATGCATTGAATGTAAGCTTCAGGTGTTCATCGAGAATCAATGTGCACACATGTTCACTGTCAAGTTCACGACTAAAAGTGTGGAAAGAGTATGTGCTTTAAAATTCCACCAGTTATTGTAAAATTGACCTCAAAAATGGTCAGCCTGGCTGACACCCCATCAGCCATTTAAGGGGGTGCAGCAACACCTTACCCACACCGATTTACACATCTTTGCAAATGTTGGCCAATTTGATTCATAAAACAAATGTCTCAGTGTTACTTTAATTTGCATTTATGTGACTGTGTTGCATTTGGACATTTTTGACATATTTTTGTGCCATGTTAATGCTTCTGTGATGTACCTGTTCCCAGCCTGTGGCCTTATGTTTATCTTCTATTGAGCAACTCATTTTTCCCTCCGTAGTCTGTCATTAAACTCTGTACTCATTTCCATACTGCCTGTTTTCATTTTTAATTTTCTCTCCTACTCAGGAAGGCCTTTCCACCTCACATTTATAAATATTTCTTGTAATTATAGCTAATTTCATAGCTTAAACCCCGTGGTAACTCATATTTTCCCTTCTAAACAGCAAGTCCATTTTCCAAACACCATGAAATAATCATTACTCCCACTGATTTGAATGGCCATTTTCATCATATTCACGACTTCCATTTCAGTCTAGGATTTCCTTCCATTTCACTGTTCTCTCTGCTTAGGTGTAGCTCGTTGCAAATGTATTTGTTAGAGCTTCATCATCTTTGTATACTTTTATATGTATTTTCCCAACATTTTTTCAAAATAAGTTCATTCAAACTTCTCTATTTTAATATAATTTCAGATTTAAGAATTTGCAAAAGCAACACAAAGATTCCGTACGCTTTCACCCAGCTTTCCCAACTGTGAAAATTTTACCTAACTGTAGTACAACTAATTTCACCAGAAAATGAGCGCTGACAATGCTTCTACGGTGTCTGGAAACTTAGTTTCCACCCTTGTCCCACATGGAACTGTTCCCTGGACCAGGTCTTCTTAGGATTCCTGTCCTGCATTTTCTCCTCCCGATGACGTCAGAAATCCCTTAGTCTTTCATGATCTTGACAATTTTGTAACATATTGGTTAATCGTTGGGAGTCTCTAACTTCTTGTTGGTCTGACAGATATTTCCTTATAATCAGATTCAGATTGTGCATTGTTGGCTTGAAGGCCTCAAAATAATGTGAACTTTCTGAGTGTGTGATATGGGAAGAACCTGAAGTCATCTTGTCTTTTTTCTTTTAACAGATTAATGAAGTCCATCATATTTCTAGATATGCTCCATAGATGTGATTGTTGGCTCACCATTCTGGGAGTTCTCTGGGTGAAATTCAAAACTGATCTGCCTATATAGAGCCAAGAAGAGACCAAAGAAAGAGGCAGAGCTTGTGGGGTTGGTAGGTGGCACTTTTAATAAGCAATAGAACTTATTACATACAGGGTTTCTCTTGTCTTCTGGCTTTTGAGTTACATGAGTTACTTATGTATTTTGGGTATTAGCCCCCCATACTTTCTTACCCCCTCTCTCTCTCTCTCCACTTGCAATTATCTTCTCCCCTGCACTCTGTTGTTTCCTGGCTGTGCAGAAGTTTCCACTTTGATATGGTCTCATGTGTCTGTTTTGGCTTTTGTTAGCTGTGCTTTTACCAATACCTGAGTCTCGACACCTGTTTTCTCCTAAGAGGTTGGCAGTTTTAAGTCTTTAATTCTTGTTGAGTTGTTTTATTAAATATGCTATAAGGGTTCAATTTCATTCTTTTGCAAATGGCTGTGCAGCTTCCCCAACACCATTTGTTGAAAAAGCCAACCTTTCCCCATGGAGTTACTCTGGGATGCCTCCTCAAAGCCCTGATTGTTGAAGGAAAACCTGGCTCGGGTGAAATCCTGGCTTGGACTTGCTTGTGCTGAGTTTTGTCAGGAACCTGTTCCCTGGTCGCCCTGCTCTGCGTGTGGTTTGTGACACAGATGTCACTTTGCTCCTTTTGCCTTAGCAGTTATTTTATCTTTGTGCCTGGAAGCCTTGAAGATTTTGTTTTATATTCTTATAGTTCACTGGCGATGTCTCAGAGCTGGTATCTTTGGATTATTGAGTAAACCCTTTCAGTATGTAGATTCTGCTCACCTTTTGTTTGGGATAATTTTCTTAGCTCATATATTTAATTATTTAATATTGGCTTGGTGCTAATATTTAAATATTAGTCTGTTTCTTTGTTTTGTATTTCTTCCCAGTGGGCATCCATAATTTGAAGATTATTCCATCCTTGCCTTTTTATTTTGCCACCATTTCCTGTGTGACTTTTAAAAACTTCATTTCTTAAAATCTAATTTTCATTTATTCATTACTTTTTAGGTTTTCTTAAATGTTTTTTTTTTTTTTATTTAAACTCATTTGGCCTTGTGTACTGCGTGGTGAAGTCTTCATTTCTAAGACTATTTTGTCTTTTTAAAAAGTTTTCTTCCTAAATAAATCAATTTTCTGTTTAAAAAAAATCTTTGTTTTAAAATTATTGATTCATGATTTATCCACCTCTCCTTCATTTTCATGGCACATATTTAATACAGTTCAGAATGTTAAATTCAAGTTTCCTCTGCTTCTTGGCTGATTTTTACCAAAGGAATTTTCTTCAGTTGAGATAAATTGATGCAAGGGATATGGAAGGCCTGGTATGGGTCAAACAATTCACAATGCCCACAGGGACACTGTGACCTCATAGTGCGGCACAAGGGTGGGCGGGCTCCATGCTCTTCCCTGGGGATGGAGATGCCTGAGCTGCTAAGCAAGTTGTCCAACTGTGGATCTATTTTCCATACTTAAAGGTAACTGCTTTTGTTAACAACAGTGGACTAACTTTCCTTGCAACTCACTCTGAGATCTTTGATTAAGTCTCCCATTATATATAACTCAACCAGATTGTGTTGAGCTTCATTACTGAATGAAGCAACATAGACATGCTCTCAGCACTCCTAGTTGACACTTTCTATTTTGCTCTTCTCATACAATAAAAACAAAGTGAAGTAAAAACCAGAAGCTAGGACCATTGCTTGTGATGCAATTGTGCTGGCTGGGCAAATGCATGCCAGCAAAATTTGAATTCAGATCCTTTTTATACATGTATATATGAAATCTCAAATGACTGAAGCATTTTGTTTAAAGATTTATTTATTTATGCATACAAGAGCTGGGGTAAAATCCAGAGGTGTGTTGTGGTGAGAGGATTCACCAGAGACAGAGTGGGGAAAAGAACAGGCAGACTGACTGAAATACACTGCTGAGGGGAGCAGCAGGCTAGACAAAAGAGGTCTGCTGTGCCATGTGGGTCACCTCCCTGGCTGGGGATTGAACTCGTGCTGCAGTAGCTGCTGATTGCTTCATAGTGCGGTGCTTAACCCCTTGTGCCACCAGGGAGGACCCTGTCTGAAGGATGATCACAATGATATGAGGATAGCAATGATTATAGCAATGATCAAAAGATCATTCTACTTTGCAATAAATTTTCCTTGATAACGGTAATTTGATATGAAAGATAATTTGTGACTTTAGAATCATTTAGGGGGGTTATAATTTTTTTTATTTATGTAGCTATAGTTGGTGGATTTCTAATTTTGGTATCTAAGATAGATGTTCAAGCTCTCAAGGAATAACTTTTGTTATTATTATCTCCCATATTAAAAGTGGAATTTGGGATTGAAGATTTTATATTCCAACAAACTTACCACTGTTCAAAAATCTGTCAGCCACTTTCCCTTGTATCTACAATAGACTGTTAGATGAAAAAGTTGAGAACTTTAAGGTCTGTCATCTGTATAATTTACTTTGTGCTTTATGACTTAAAAAGAATCTACTAGGCAGCAATTGCCAGTCTGAAACTTAAATACACACTTCAAATCTAATTATTTGTCAAAGCAACTTTGCAAAAATGTTATTTTTTGAACATCATCCAAAATTTTCTCTCTAAAATACATTTCTTTGAAAATTTAACTGATATCAAAGACAAGTATGGGTACATTTTACAGACTATTATGCAAAGAGAAAGAAAATGTGATATTTAGTTTGATGCAATAAAAGAACAAATAATTGACAATAATATAGACTTCCTCCTCAAAGTGTCTTAAAAAAAAACTTAGAAACTTTTCTCTGAATTCTTTTGAATTGTCTCCACGTAGAATAGTCTAGCTTTAATCACAACAACACTAATGTGATATATTTTAATACTGTCTTAAATGTGTTAGTGCTTGATATTTTTTTCCAATTGACCACATGCATAAGTAAATTTTCCAGTATTCAGAAGAGTTTCCAATTTGTTCTTGGTCCCCTCTGAGGAAACTCCTCTTGCATGCAGTATGAATGAGAATCAAGCCTTCTGTCTGGTACTGCATTGCTATTTGGGGTTCATTGCTATAATAAGATTAGTTTAGAATTCTCTGTTTAGTGCAACTACTTAAACTTTCCCTGCTCCCCTATCACAACCTGCTTTCCCTTGGCCGGAAAAGAACAGGGACCAAAGCTAGGCATATTTAAAGTTCTACATTTGAAGTTTACATTCAAATAAAAGGTGTGGAAATTCAATTACAAAAATCAATACATACTTTTTGGATGCTGCAGATCTATGGACAGTTTTCAAGGATTGGTTTCAAAGTTTGTGTTTGACCTTTTGTTTGGTTTCTCTATATTCCACAGATAAGTGATGCCATCTGGTATTTATCTTTCTCATTTTGTCCAAAGTCTTAATTTTATTATAAAGATGTATTATACTTTGCTGTCACCACCCACAAAAACTGGAGAAACACTGCTTTAAATTATTAGCTACTGCCTGGTGTGTTGGCCAGACTGCAATAAATGAAGAAAGCAATCCTTAGAGATAAATTTAAAAAATAACTAATATATTTAATATATACATATATGATAATAGAGTCAATATAACATAATACCCTTGTTTGTATGTATGTGTATATATATATACATACATGTATATGTACTTATTTGTAACAGCATGTATTACTATTACAAATAATATATACTGCTATAAACACAAGTTAAAAAGCAGTATGTATTTTTTTTTTGTCAAAAAGACACAACTGCTACTAAGATGCATACATTTCTATGATTGTTTTGCATTGAAGAATCTCTAGGGAGGATTTGCTTTAAGAGCTAACATTGGTTGTCTTTTTATTGCTGCATAGCAAATTGCTACAACCACCTAAAACAATACCCATTTATCATCACAAATTTCTGTTAAGTCAGAAGTCTGGTACGATGTGGGTTAGATTTCTGTTGTAGGCATCTCAAGGTTGAAATTGAAGTGTTGCTTCAATTCTCATCTGGATGTTCTGAGGGAAGTGTCTGCTTCAAAACTCATTCTTGTGGTTGGAAGAATTAATTTTCTTGTGGCTCTAAGACTGGTTGCCGTTCTCATGATGACTGTGAGATGCGGGTCTCCCACAGGCAGTTCTCTGGCCTTTTCCATTCTATCTTAAAGATTGGAAGTGAAAAATTTGCTTCACTTTGACCCCCTCCTAAATGTTTATTTCATCTTCTACCATTTCATCTTCTACCATTAAATGGAGATGTTCTTGCTTTTAAAGAGCCCATGTGATTGGGGTAGGTCCTTGCAGATACTCTGCCTTTGTTATAGTCAACCCTTTCATATAAGGTAAATCACTAACTTAGTATCTCATCCTGAAAAGAAGGAGGTTTTACAAGCCACTGTCATTGTGGTCATTTCACTTTTGTATCAGGAATCAGGGAATCTGGGGTTAAAAGTGATGTGGTAGGGCATGGCCCCTGGATGAAACACAGAGCTCTCCACCTCTTGATATTCATGTCTTTCTGCAATCTTTTTCCCTCAAGTGTGAGTTGGACCAAGTGACTCCCCTAAACAATTAGAAAATGGAAAAATAAATAAAGATTTGGTAATAAAGAGACAACTTGCATACTCTCTCATGCTCATTTAGCAACTTACTTTGGTGGAAGTAAGTTGTGGACTTCCCTGTGACATCTTCCATATGCAGGGAAGGAGACCTCTAGTTAAAAAGTGACAAACTTAGACCAACACCCAGAAGACACTGAACCTGCCAACAGCCATGTGAGTGAGCTTGGAGATGGATCCTTCCCCAGATGAGCTGTCAGATGAGACTGCAGCCCTAGCTGACAATGAGATTGTGCCTGTGAAATAACTAGAACCATTGTTACCCACATAATATATGTGCAGATTCCTGCCCCCAGAAATCTTATACCTGTGATATAAGAATTATTTGTTGCTTTAAGCTGCTAAGTTTTATAAGAATTTGTTATCCAGTATACATTAAATATTGAAGATGATAAGAAAATATAATAACTGAAAAACAAAATAATATTCATGGCATATGGCTAATTATAAATGTAGATTGTGACATTTGACTTACAATATTATGGAACAATGCATAAGAACTTGTATAATGACTCAAGATCACAAGGACAATGAACATTTAGAAAATATTGTTTTATGATGGAAATTCTGATTATATAGCAGCAGGTGGTATAGGACTAAATATTCATCAAGGACTCACCTACATAGTGACTTAACTTCATTTTCAATGCAGAGAACATCAAGAAAACCTGTATGCTCTAAACCTGAAATAGAAAGGTTCACTAGAGTTGAAATTTAGTTGCAAGCACAAAAGGAAAGATACAAAATCATATTTAGGGATTTAGAGGTGGGATTTGGGAATGAAGAAAGTGGTGGGAGTATAGGAATTATAAAAGCAGAGGAAGAGACACCCTGTTTTAGTTATGGACAATTGGCAATCTCAACATTAGGGATCATTATTCTCTTTCATGACTGTCTACAAATTTACTTTCCTAGAAATGCTGAACCAAAGTGATTGAATATGCAGCCATGAATTTCTTTTCAAATTTCATCAGCATTAAATTTATAAGAATAACTACACAATGCTTTGATGTGAATTCCTTAAAGTCTCCCTAAAAATGCTGAAGAGAGTTTTTGTGCTTTAAAAATGTGTCTTGTGAAGTATATTTTAGAGTTAAATATCTAACTTGAGATTAAATTTAATAAAAAAACACAAGAGTAGCTGAGTTTCAGATATACTTGATTGTAGGTTAGAAAATTTTGTTATTTGCTTCTGTATGTCTCTGTCTTATGAAACCAGACTTTTTAAAAATTAAACTCAGATTCCAAACTATGAGACTATACACAGCATATTTTCTTTCTCTCCTTCTTTGCTTCTATTACTCCCCAGGGTCATCTTTGTCTCTTCCCTGTAAGCTAACTTCTGTTGCTGGCCAAAATATGATATATCAAAATTTACCATCTTTCTGTGTTATTGCTTTGCTTCATTGCTCTATTCATTTTTATAAGCTCCTACCAAGCCCTCCTCCTTTTATATTTTTATATTTCTTTGGTCCAGAGGCTACCATTTCATTTTTCTATGGCTTGCACAGCGATTTTATTTTGAAAACATAATTCTTCTTTTTCTCAATCAGGAGAAGTGAAATGCTATACTCCGAGGCATAGCCAGTTCACTTTGCTAATCTCTAAAAACAATTCATTGGTTGTCACCTTTGTATCATCATCTCCAGGTAAATGAGGTTGGCATCTGATGGTCTTTCTGAGAACAATCAGTCCTGATGGTTCACTTGGGTTGCAGCATTCTTCTGACAGCCTCTTCTCAGCATCAGAAGTGTAGAGTTGTAAGTATCCTACAATTTTCACCTATTAGACTTGGACATCATTTTCCAAAATAGGAGGATTGCTCTCCCTATGTTTTTATTTTCTCACAATGCTTCTGTTCACTCCATGCTTTCATTTAGGATCCATGTGACCACAATATTCTTTAAGTCTTATGATTTTAGATATGTGGCTGATCCAAAATATTTAGGGCTGTTTGTCTGGAAAGACCTCGATGCTTGTAACAAAGGTTAAATGCTAGTAGATCCCAAGAAGTTTAGTGAGGAATTTCCGGGAAGATAGGCAGATATTGCAGAGGCTAACTGATTTATTTCAGCTTTCCTATAAGACTTTTCAAAATGATGCTTCATCTCACACCCAAACTTGATAATATATAGATGTCAATGTTTTGAAAAGGAAAAGGTCATGATGATTACATATTTATTTAATCACATGTACCAATTAAATATATAGGCTTTGGCTCCCCAATGAGCAAAATAATATCTTGAAATTATTGTGAGTCCATTGGTCTCAGTCTCCCATTTTGCTGATGACCATTAGACAGTGATATGGAAAATGAATTCCTGGGGAGTGTAACAGATAATTATATTTGTCAATTGTGTTTTGGAATGCATATATATTAATTTTTATGATTGATTCAAACCATGAATTAAATAAAAATTGTTTGATGTTCCAGTTTATTTTCCTCTTTCCTCAAACCAAGCATCAAATCCCACATCTGACATTGCTGATTTAAATTGTCATGGAAGAAAGAGTTTTATTTTGGAGCAACCTGATTATATTGCACAATATCTTAACAGTTAAGTGTTAATACAGAAAATGGGGCCATTTTATGAAAGACAACTGGAAAATGAAAAGCGAAAAGGTGGGTAATCCTAAAGTCATGGAATAGCTCCTGATAAGCCTTGAAAGTAACAGAGAAGTGAAAGGTAGAGAAAATAAATACATGTATATGCCTCATGAAACAGACCTCTTGCAACCACAATTTCAGTAAGAGATATTTCTATCCACTGTAAACCACTGGGCATGTGAGTTTCTTTTCCAGTGGTATCTGAACCTACATTTTAACTAATATGGTATTCATATATTAAACAATCCTGGATTTTATTTCTTCTAATATTTATGACTTTCCTGAGGACACAGAATTTAGAAGGAAGGCTTACATCCGGCTGTACGCTGCATCCTTGATCTCTTCTTATTATCATACAAAAATATAAAGGCCCAGGAAAAGAGAAAATAATTCCTCTTCTTCAAACTCTTCTTCAAACTACTGTATGTATCGTAGCCCTGTTTTGTTTCTCATCTCCATGGAAATTCTAGGGATGATAAATGGAATGTTATTGAAGACATATGAAGTTATATGTGGTAAATAAAACATCTCAACCAACGAGTCCATTAAAGAAGTATTCCATTAATGGACAAATTGGGAGCAGGCAAAGGTCAAGCCGGTATGTGGGCTGTGAGTCCATGAGACTGACTAAGCTTCCTAAGACAGATATTAAAGAATGAAGAGCAGACATGGAGGGAGGTGGCTCTCAGAATGTTCAGGGGTTTTAGAAAAAATAGAAAAAGAAAAGAACAAAAGTAAGAGGGTGTCAAAAATTGAGAGACCTTAAAAATAACACCCAAGCAGCAAAATACTATTTAGTAAAGAGTTATTATGCATCAAAGAACAGTTCACAAACTGGGAGACTTGCGATCTGAAACTGAGGGCCAGCTCCAAGGCTTATGTGACAGGGTGGCTTAGAAAGTGAAGGAGGAAATCCTCTAAAATCTGCAGTGGCTGGTTCCTACCACTGGTGTGGGCAGAAGACAGGGGATTGGTTAAATGTCATTACATTACACCATTTTAAGAATACAGCAAAAGCTTTCTTACGATTATGAAAGGGCATTTCCCAGAAATAACCTAAGTTAAGTTTTGCTAATGTTCTGACATGAGCTAGATTTAGTTTTGCTTATGAGGCGTAAATGGTTTTGTAGTTTAGTAATCTTCAAGCCTGATCTCCACTTTATTTTATTTTAATAGAGTGTCTTAGGATTCACTTAACCAGGGATAAGGCTGGGAAAGGATGATTAGGACAGAGAGTCTGTATAAAATTAAGTACACCTTAGCATTTAACCAAGTCCAGACCTTGTTTTCTAAATAACATTCTCCAATGAAAGAATACAATTTCTTGAAGAAATGGGTTGAAGCAGGGAAAATATAAAACGAAGTTGGGTTGACTTTTGGTGCCAAAAAAATGAGGGCGAGCTTTTACAAAAAGAAAAATATATGGGCATGTCCAAAGGATGTAAGAAAAAATCTGAAAGAGCTGCCAATGTTTAAATATGAAATAATTTATTTAACAAAATGAATAATGATAATATTTGGTGTTTGCACCAAAATAAAATAAATATCCATGAGTTTATACTCATATAAATAAGTTATTGAAGAATGAAGGAAATTAATAGGGTGAAGGAACAACTCTTCCTTACATAAGAACTCCATTCAATAAATGTAGAAGGAAAAAGGAAAAATAGAAATCACCATTAGAACATCACAATAATAAGAGAGATATGCAAAATCCAATGAATGCTAAAACTATGTGCCTAAATTTTAAGGGAGGACAGAACATCTGAATGGCCTCAAAGTAGCTTTCCTAAAATATTTACTAGTTATCGTGATGGATTTAATATGTGTTATGGTGCTCCTTCCATATTCCTCTTCCTAGGAAGTGAAGCTTAATTACTCTCCCTGAGTGTAGGCTGGGCATAGTGACCTAATTCCAGTGCATGGAGTGTGGAAAAGGAAAAATTACTAGTTCTTCATTGGACCTTTACCAAACGATCCATATTTAATGACCAGAAATGAGATGCATTGACATCATGTTACCCCAAGATAAGTAATGAGAAGGGCATGTGACCTCTGGAGTCTTCATCCCTTAAATCTATAACATCAATCTTATTATGAGAAAACATGAGATAACCCCAAATTAAGGAAAATTTCACAAACTACCTGACCAGTGTTTTTCAAACATGACGAGGTTTTGAAAGACAAGGAAAGAGTCAAAAACTGTCACAAATGAGAAAAGATCAAAAAGCAAGTGGCAATAAATGCATGATGATGTACTGGCTTGAATCCTGGGACAAAAATAGGATATTTGAGGGAAAACATAAAGGAATCTGAACAAAGTGAATAATTTAGTTCATAATGGTTTATCAGTGTCAGTAAGATTACAGTTTTACTTTTCATCATTTTACCATGAATGTGAGTTGTTACATGAGAAGAATCTGAGTGAGGGATATATAGGAAATATATGACTATCTTTGCAACTTTTTAAAATAAGTCTAATTATTTCAGATGAAAAGTTTAGAGAAATAAATATCTTAAAACTTTCTATAGGTATAGCACAAGCTCTTATCTTTCCACACCGTATGAATCTTTAATTTGCTTTCCTGGGGAGGAAATCACATAGAATTCTAAAAAATGATCCAAATTGTGCAATGTGATAACATAATGATTGAGGCTGAGACTCACAATAGTACCTACTGGAAGTATTAGGCAGGAAACAAGGAAAAGACAAAAGATACATAGAAAAGACAAATGGTACCCGGAACAAACACTAATGAGTGGTTAGAGGTTAAAAAACCATTTTATGTAGGCAACAGTCATTTTAATTAAATTCTGAATTTGATTGATACTATGTTACTTCATTCCAAGGTAGAACTTTAATAGAAGAATTTATTAAATTTCAATGCAAATTCAAAGAGACAGGATAGCTTAGGTGCATTGTGTGAAGAAGAAGGGAGGGCATGGATTCAAGATGGAGTATAACAACACCTAGCGTGGAATGTTTTCATTTCCACTCATGATGTCATCATGGGCAAAGGTGAACGTGGTGACGGAATACCTCAGTCTCTAAAGCTAACTTCTCCGAAGACAGCGGTCTTGAGTACCTCTGTAATGACCCTTAATGCAGAGTTGAAACTTCTGACTTAACCACAACTTTTAGAGACTGCAGGTAAGTTGGGATGCTGTCCATAATACTTCCATCCCCCCATTGTCTATTGCTGCGAGTCTTGGCTGTTCCTTCACTGGAGGTGGACATGCTATCATTCCCTGCTAAAGACGTTCTTTGGACAATTGAATGCTAGAAAAATTTCCATCTGCAAAGGTTTGAAATGTGTTTTGTGCGTTTGGGTTTCCTTTCCTCACATTTTGGTTGGTCATGCCAAGAAGATGCCCTAGTTGCTTACTGGTCCCAAGAGGATGAAAGACGTGGAACAGACGTGGCTTCTACCTACAGCGTTTGACCAAACCCTGAGGAGCCCAAGCCAAATCAGCCAAATCCCAGTCATCTTGCAACATCAGGGAGAACACTTAGTATATTAGTCCATAAAGTTTTGTAGTGTCTTGTAATGCCTTAATGATAAGTGACTGAGGCAGTAGATTATAATTGGCCTCTTCTTGCTTTAGTTTCAGTGTGGGATCAAATAAGAAATATATTAGGCCCCAAAGTGTCTGATACACAAATCACTATAGGGAAATATTGTTAAAAAGCAAAACAAAACAACAACAAACCATACCCCACGATCCTTGAACACCTGTACCTAGAATGTAAATTATGTGAGTATATGGACAGTGGGGCTTTTGTGACTCCTCAGTGCTATGACCCCGCTCCTTCTCCTTACAAATGTCTTTCCTAAAACCCAGGGGTTAGCTTTTCATGGAACAGATTACAATAATAGAAGCTCTAGAGTGATATCTAGGTTCTGCAAATTGTGTCCCCTAAAAGACAATGGCCAGAGGAGTCAGGGACACAATCGGGTTCAAAGATGATTGGAGAGGGCTGTGGAAAGATTTCTAGGCAGCCCTCTGCATGGCAGATTTGCCCACGTGGCATCGAGACAGACCACCCAGGTCAAGAGATCCTCTTTAGGTGTCTGACTAGACCCCAAGCAGAGGGTGGGTGTGAGGAGGAGGAGAAGCAAAAGGGAAGATGATGCCAAATGCAGTCTAGCTCCCAACTTCCCGAAAGATTTGCAGCCTGCAGCAGGGTTGATATTAGAAGTAGAAGGAAAAGGACTTAATTTTCTCTGTCACTGTGTTTATTAATATGCAGGAATGAACATATTGCTATGGAATAGGTGTGCTATTAAATATTGAAAGTGGCCGCAGAATGATCTCTTCCCAACAACGAACATAAATGTGCTGGACTCCAGCGGGGTTTTCATCCAGGAGTAGAGGAAACTATATTCAATACGCATTAAGTAAGCAATGGAAGACAAAAAGTCAATGAAATAAAAGAACAACTTGGTTTTGATTATATCAGTCATTTTGCATGTTAACCCTGCTGGTTATTTATCACTGGTGGAATCAAATAATTCAGTCTCCACTTTAACTGTGACCATCTCGTTGGATTTCAGGGATTTTGTAGGGTTTGTATGCAAAGCAGCTTGAGATTATTTCTTACGCTTTCCTAAAGAGAACTTCAAATACACCTTCAATATTTTTTTGGATTAATTTTCTTGCAGACTTTTGAAAAACTTTAGCACATTTAAGAGTAGATAAGACTCACTTCTTCAACATTAAATATTCCATTAAGAGGGAAAATTACTTAGGAACCATGTAAAATTAATATAATTCTATCTTTAATTTCACTAAGAATACTAATTTAAAGGCATTTAGCATTCTTCTCTACACTACCACATATGTCCAACTGATTATTTTTAGTATATCATCCCCTGAATAAAGACCTATGGGAAAAAGACCTATCTTATTTCAGTGACAGAGCAAATGGAGTTTTGACATTTCAAGTAAAATCACATTATGTTGGAATACTTCAATAGATTGCTTCATTTCTTTTGCCACATAAAAGCAAATATTTCATTTCTTTTACAGAACAAATATTCATAGTTGCTTTCTTTTAAAAACATCTGTGGATATACTTTTGAAAGTTAAGTGGCTTCAGGTAATGATGTAATATACTATTTACTTTATTCTTTTTCAGGATATTCGGTAACTGATGAAAAATAGATTGACCCATAGCATATAAAACTCAGTGCTTCAACAGATATTGAATGAAAAGGTAAATAGGTAGATTGAGTGATTATGAATTTGTATTGCTTGCCCATATTTTCTTTTCAATGTAAGAATAAAGAAACAACTGATTTTTACAATGAGAAAAAGATCTTATTCCATATAAACAGGGTGCTTTTTGCAGAAGAAATATATGATACACACATACATGTTATTTCATGAACTGAATGCACAGTTCTATTTTACATATTTTATTGATAGTTATGAGAAACAAAAGATACAGAATATCCTAAAAGAGATTAAAATAATGCACTAGAAAAATGACATTTTCAGAAAGAAGCAAGGGGACTTAGAACTCATTTAATCAATTTAAATTTTCAAGTTGTACTGATGAGGATATTTGAATCTATAAGAAAAAAAAAGAGATGCAGTGGAATAGAGTTTAAGCTCAAATGAGAGTTTACATATATAAAATGCTTGCCCTTCTAACCTTCATCTTTTTTCATTAAGCTGTGAAGTAGTGTCTAGCATATTAATTATTCCCAACAGTAATTCTTTAAAAAAATTATGCATTTTCCAGCGATAGATTGTAGCATACTGGGGTCAATCTAAACTAAATAAATGATTTACTGTTAATAAAAAAATTGGATAGATAAAGATTTAAAGTAAATTTCAACATTTATCATATTTAAGCTATATTACTTAAAGATACATAAATGCTTACATAAATGGATAAAATATTCCAGCATTGTTTTACACACATCATTAAAATTCCAATTATTTAAATTTATTACTAAATATTACCCATGAATTCTCAAGAAGTAAAAAATACAATTTTGTTTTGTCTTTAGAGTAGCAAGAAATGAAACTAATGCTATACTTGGAAAAAATAATATGCGCAATAATTTTGCTGTCAGATATTTGAAATATTCTCTGATTTTACCACATTTGAATTTTATAATAGGCTTATCTAGGTTATATAGGTTTATAGCAGGTTATAAAGAGGCCAAAAACATAATCCAGGGTATGATAAATCTCAGGAAAGGATGATTTTTTCTTTTCTATTAATATGATGCATTACTTACAAATAACTTAGAATATATTTGTCAGTTGCGTTTCTTTATATTTTCCAATGATCTTTTTAAAGCAATAGGCAATGGACCTTGTTTCTGAATGTTGTGATGGGGAGCTAAATCTTTGGAAATTCTTACTGTTCTTTGACCCACCTCTGCCCTGCTTATTGAATTAGGAGATTAAAATATATATGATTAATTGAGACATAGGGAAAAATGTATGTTCTTTTCTCTAAAACCTGTGTAAATAAATCTTGGACTATAAAAAAGTTTTAAACAGCTGACTGATCCACCACACAGTGCCCAGCATCTGTGTCTTGTAAGAAGGAAGCAGAGTGCACATGGAGGAGAAAACAGATGGAAAAGTAGAGGATAAGGGAAAAGGACTGTGATTAAGAGGAAGGTGTTTTTGTTAAGCAGAGGAGCAGAACTGTCTAGTGATAAATTAGAGTTCACATTTCTCTGTATTCCTTCTGCCTTGAAGGAACAGAATTCAAAAATTAAAAGCAAAGTAAGAGTTTTAGGTTAGTTTGCTTTTTATGGTTGATTCAGTGTTACCCAGGGTTAAATTTTAAGCAGATTTGTGAGTATATTCATACGTTTTAGAACTCTTAGACATATTGGAAATATGCACATAACACTTAAATTATAAGTCATTTCTATAATTCATTTTATAGGATTATATAAAGTAATAAATGCCTTTGATACAGGCCTAATGTGTGGCTCAGCCCCTGTTTGGACTTGTGGTCATTACCATTGACAATTCTGAGAAGGCTATTGATGAGAATGATGAAAGTCAGCAGGCACCCCAGCATCTGTGACCCTTTGAGTATTACAAACAGGCAACAGAACCCTCCTTGAGTGTATTTTAGGAAGAAGTGTGTGTGTGTGTGTGTGTGTGCGCGCGCGCGCGTGTGTGTGTGTGTGCATGTGTGTGTGTGGGGGGGGTGACGTGTTCAGAGAATGCTTGGTTTTAGCTATAATTCCCCCTAAACATGAGTGGATCTTGGTAGTAGAGAGACATTAGTGCGTGCTATGTGCTTTTGGATTATTCTATACAACTTACTTTTGAAGACAGATCTTATGAACCTTCCTTGCTTGACATTTGTACTATGTGCTCCTTAATGACATGAAAGAGTTGATACAATAAGTTGCCTGAATAAAAAATGCTAATTCTTTTTTTTTTAAGCCATCTTTGCTTCATTCCTTTGGATCAACAAGGAAATATCATCTTCAAAAACTTCCTTGTAACTAAATTGACATCTGGAATCCTTCCAAAATAGATCTCTAGGGGGACGGAGAAAAGTAAAAAAAAAAAAAAAAAAAGTAAATAAGATGAAGAAAAACAAAGATCATTCTCACTTGCTTAATTTTTCTAAAGCAGCACTATCTCAGGTGGGGTTATCCAGAAAGTAGGCACTGAGACAAAATAATCGGTAAGGGGTCAAGGTGCTTATGAGGGAGAGCTTATAGGCTCTAGACTTAAGGTGACCTTTGGAAAAGAAGGAGGTGGGTGGGCAGAAGGAGAGGTAAAGGTGCAAAGGAGAAGACAAAACTGTTCCCACAGACAGTCTGGGGTCTCCAGGTGGGATGAGGTTGTAGAATAGTAATAAGGGACTCTGCAGCTGAGGGAATCCCTGAAGTGGTCTCAGCTGATGTTTCTTTCTGAGCATCTGTGGAATGAAGTTTTCCTGGTGGGAAGTCTGGACGATACAGTAACATGTCCCAGTACAGGAACAAACCTTGCTTGTCTTGTGTTCAATAGATTTCAAAACAATGGCAATCCAGTAAACATTCAAAAATACTGCAAAAATTGTTGGTTATTAAAGGAAATGAACATACATCATGTGTTTAGAAGATAGGGGCCGGGTCAAGAAGCAAGTTCAAAATGGCAGCATGGAAATTTCCAGGCCTCAGGGCATGACCATGCAACCTCAACCTCACTCTGTAAGATAGGAAGGAGGCCACTGTCCATTACTCCCTACGACTGGGCAGAGATTGGTGATTTCTGTATTATGGTCCAGTTTTTAACTGGTTTGTGTTGTTTTTTTTTTTTAACAGTTTTTTAAAAAAGATTTGTTTATGCATACAACAGCTGGGTATAGGCCAGAGGTGTGGGAGGGTGAGAGGATTCACCAGAGACAGAGTGGGGAACAGAACAGGCAGATCTACTGAAATACACTGCTGAGGGGAGCAGCGGGCAAGACAGGAGAGGTCTGCTGCACCATGTGGGTTGCTCCCGGGCTGGCCAGGGATTGAACTCATGCTCCAGATTGTTGAGGCTCCAGATTGCTTCATAATGCAGTGCTTAACCCCTTGCACCACCAGGGAGGCCCGGTTTGTGTTTTTGATGTGAGCCTGTTCATTCTATGACTCTGCATCTTGAATTCTGTGCCCTGGAAAGAACAGAATCAAATTCGTTCAATGATTATGTTCATTTATGCAGCTGTTTTGCTCATCGTAATGAAAGTTTGCCAATACAGTTTCCATTCTATTTATCAATGAGTATCTTTCAATGTTTTCAACAGTATTTTTAGTTTATTCTCATGATGAAAAGTTAGTTTCTGATCCAACAAATTGGAACTTTCTCAGGAAGGAAGATTTAAAAAAAATATATGCTATTTTCTCTGCTACATTTGAGGTAAAAAGGTCCTCAGGTAGGACTATTGATTAAATAGTAGATGTGTATATGAACATGTAAATACACCTTTCTTAAAACCATAGCTAAGTAAAATTTATAAACACGAATCAATGGAATTAAAAAAGTGAAAGTTGCTGCCTCAGTGTTTGCTTACCCACTCATTTTTTCAAGAGCTCGTCAGAATTTCGACATCATAGTCAATAAATATTGCTGCAAAGGAATAACAAAAATGCACATTTAATTTAATTTCAGAAATTCTCATTACATAAGCATGTTGCCTCATCTCATATTTTGAAGGGATTCTGTACTTAATCATTTTATTTATATTCCTGGAAGGCCGCACAGCTAAAAAGGTTTTTTGGCAGGAATTACTGCGTCAAATTTTTCAAAGAAAGATATTGCATCATTTACTTTATGAACTTTGTGTTTTGAAAGTTCAGCCTCATCTTGAATTTCTTTGAAAAATTAACTCAAAATGGATTAAAGACTTGGATGTAAGACCTGAAACCATAAAATACATTGAAAATGTAGGCAAAACTTTACAAGACATTGATTTCAGTGATATATTTAGGGATTTGACTACAATAGTAAGGGAAACAGAAGCAATCATAAATGGGACTACATCAAACTAAAACACTTCTACATAGCAAAAGAAACTATCATTAAAACAAAAAAACATAGTACCAAATGGGAGAGAATAATTTCCCTTCATCCTTCTGACAAGAGGCTAATATTCTGAACTCTTGTGAAATCTGTGAAGAGAAGATTAAAGGAAAACCATGGAAAATTGCTGCAGTTTATTTAACATACTGTTTTGAAATTAAACGTTTAAATATGTTCATTAATTTAAAGGGTCCTTAGAGGTGGTATAAATATTACATTATTTCTTTTAAAACTGTATTATTTTGTTATTTATAGTATTTATTGCAATCACAGTGTTTCCAACACTGCATATGATTTATAGGTAGAGAATCACACACTTCAGTTGTGTGTTGCCACACCACACCCACTACCAAGGGACCCAGAGTCGTCCTCCACAGTCCACTGGGCCTCCTCCCTGCTTATCTCTGGTGGCCCCAACAGATTTCAAGAGCTTATTTCCATTTAGTTGTGTCTGTTCATTCGTTTCCTTATGTTCCACCTATGAGTGAAATCATCAGGTATTTTTCTTTCTCCTTCTGACTTATTTCACTGAGCTTAATCCCCTCTGGTTCCATCCATGTTTGTTGCAAATGAAAAATTCATCCTTCTCATAGCTGAGTAGTATTCCACTGTGTAGATATACCACATTGTCTGAATCCAGGCATCTGTCATTGGACTAGGTTGTTTCCATAACTTTGCTACTGTGAAAAGTCCTGCAATGTACACAGGATACATGGGCGTGCACATATCCCTTCAAAAACAGTGTCTATGTATTTTTTGAG